GATCTTTGTGAAGGGGATTGCATCGAAAGAGTAATGACGAATTGGGGGGTTCGCATTTAACAAAAAGTTCCATCATCTCGGTGGCCCACCCTATGTCACTTAGAGATATTCTGCCAAAAATGAGCCATGCATGATTGAGCGATGCAACCCCGCTGTCAAGTCTCCACTGACGCACCTCTTTAACCTTCCAAAGAGGTCTACGGCGATATAATTTTGACTCTCGAAGGGTTTTTATTGGTCAAAGTCGCCGACAGAGCCATCGTACTTGTGTCTGCCTGGCCATGAATGACTGCTCAGAGTTCCGAGGTCTGACCCCTGATCACTCTTAAAGAAGGAGCTGCCAAGTTCTCTTGAAGTTCAGACCACTTAGCTTCCGCCAGGAAACGTGGGCCTAGACATGTCGACGCCATAACTGCGGTTTCATCGCTGTGAGGGTTGCGGTCGATGAAGGCAGACGACCGGTCACAGATGATAGTGATTGATGGTTGGTAGATGATCGCGATCTCTGCCACTGCACTACAGAAAATCATCGATTATCTCGATGATGACGACGACGAGACGACGATGCATTTCAAAGATCGCCGTCATCACGAGAGGACGACTTGGATCGGGTTCATGAGATAACCCTCAAGTCGTAAGTACCTGGGGACAGGTGACTACTGGCAAGCGTTTCGCTAATCCATCTATCCTAAACGTGAGAGTACAGAAAAACGTATATAATCCGCTGCTATTGTAGACCCTGCGGAAGAATGGCGCCTGTTAACCCCTATCTACGAATAGGGTTACGCGTGAAGTGAGGAAAGCACATAGAGCCATTAAGGGAATGTCTGACTCCTTTCGATTCATCTGTTAAGGCAGTTTTCAATCGTAAACTGTGATCAAGTAGGATTCTTCTTACTCAGGGCATCTCACCGAACCAGCGTTTGAGGCTCTAGGATGGTTGAGGCCACACTGCATTTTGAAGAGAGAACTACCCGCAATAATTAAGGCGTTACTACGATTTTTATCACAATGTTTCATCAAATTTCATGACTTAGGGAGCTCAAACGCGTTTGCAAAGGCCTGTGCAACCTTCCCGCTCCAGCTCACTCAGTAATATTTATCTGTACCGTAGTCCATTGGCAGACTAGTTTCGTGCTTGTTCCATTGAATGGTTCCAGTGACTGGCTTGCAGGCAGTCACACTCAGAACAACTATTAGGGACTGTGGTCATTGCTCGTTTGCCTAATGCAAGAGGCAAAGTGCAAAAGCGTTCACAACGCCAAGGGGGAGTAGGCCGCCGTTTCTTGCGGGCTGTTGCTTTAGGAAAGTTTTCCAGTTCCATCCTGTTAGTTTCAATACTACAAGGCGGACCAGTCGCGAACATCCAGCCTTTAACTCAACGTTTCTGGGGATACCATCGAGGTTCCGACGAGGAAGGAGATGCCAAATCGATGACCCTGAACAAATCATAAATCCTGTGCAGCTCAAGCAGCCAAAACTAGGGCCAATCTAGCCCGACCCTTTTGGCAAAACAAAATTCAAAGGAGGTGAAATGCAAGAAGTGGTTTTTTCCTTGGCGCTCTGATTCAAGCTAAAGACCTAAAGATTTCTCTTGTCACAGTGATAACGGGGAAATCACCAGTTCCATTAAGACCCCGCCTAACCAGCTTCAAATAGCGAGGATTGGAGGGGTATAAGGGTTGCACAGCTTCGAAAGGCTTACCTAGACTCTGTTATATTGAAAACCTGTTCCCATGGTTGGCCCTCTTTCATTGGCGCGTTCCTCCTAATTTTGAGTCGGTAAAGAGGAATGGTGCGCCGAGGCGAGGTGCACAACTGACTTCGCCCATTACGACCAGCGTAGGCTTGTTACCCTGTCAGACCTATGTGACCTCTTAGGAATTTCCCCGCTTGGATCCCTAATCCATGAGTGGCGACTTCAGTAATTGACCTAGATTACCTTTAGGGATGTGAGGCTGCATTACGACAGAGGTGTAATAATTCCAAGGGAACAGTTCATGCTGGTACAACAAGAGGAGTCCTACCATTTTGTTCCCCTCGTTTGTGTGCCACTGCTCGCTTCTATATTATGAAAGATGGCGCACCAACAAGGGAGCACAACGGCAGGCTGCCTGTAACTCCCGTTCAACAATTGGCAACCTCTCTTGCGCACAGAGGAATACACTTAATCTCTGCATGGGCTGGGGATAATCGGTACTCGTGGTAACCTCAACGGGAGCATCAAGTTCTTTGCATAGAGTTTTATTTTTTAAGTCTCTACTATTTTTTTTATTTTTGCGAATCAAAAAGACTACTTACAGCGCTCAAGAAATCGTCTGGGCAATCGCGTTATTGTTGGCAATGATGGGCCGCACTATTGCGGGCATATTTCGGCCGGTCGTACATTTGGTGAACAAAGTTCCCGGTATTCGAAGCAGTAGTTCGCTAGTCGGGGGATTTCTTAGCGCCTCCCTATTTCTACGGCCTACTCATTCCAAACTACTATCAGGGTTAAGTATTTTAGGCCTATTTTTCAGATCGACAGTATTTATCGTTTGAAAATTTGTTGTTAATTAGGATGGAAAACTTTATTAAACGTACCCCACTTAATTTTTCCTGCTTCAATAGGAAAGTAATAGCCACGAATTGATGGCGGTGCCGCTGTAGCTGCCCTTTACATTTGTTCGGAAATAACAATCATTGTGGGAAGAGCCACTGCAAAAACTTGTTTAACTTCATTATCGTGATTCTCTCTAGGGGATCGGGAGATACCTACAACCTCGGGTAGCAAGCACATCGCCAGCCAAATACGGACCCTTGTTAGAGAATCCCAAACAGCGAGAGTCCGTATTATGAGCCGCCCAGGAGCAGGGGGGTCGTATTTTCGGTCTGGAGGAGAATTTATTGCTGGATAAGATGTTTCTCGCTTTACAGACGTATGCTAAACAAGGGAGCGGGTCGTATTGTCTTTGCGGGATGGCTTCCCTGCCGCTTCCTTCTCTGGGAGGGGGGGGGTCCTGGCCTTTCTAGGAGTGGTGGGAGTGTGGTTGAATTTTCGTGATAGTCCTGTTTCATGCGTAGTGTGTACCCACCCTCCTCGACAGCAATTTTTTTTGGGAAAAAATGAGGAAGTTTTGAAAGAAGTTGGGGAAAATCTGAGAATTGGTAGAAGGGGGGGGGTCGTATTGTCTCGCGGCTTTTCCTGTTTCACATGTGCTATTTACCCACCCCCCCCCCTCGCTCGGTAGTTCAGTCCACCTGAATGACCGTCATCGAGTTGGGGTATGTGTAAATATTAGGTTGGTGCATAAGTTCTTTCCCCCGACTTTTTGTAAATATCTCAATAGCGAACCAGCCTGAAGATTAGAGGTATGCACCATCACCATCCACTACTCGACGCCAACGCTCAGGCAGCTTGTCGGTTCCATCGTTCCAGAAGGACGGGGGCTGGGACCCGAAGAAGGCCACAATGCCGCACAATCACCACTGTGACATGGTTTTGCACTGGTAATTGTGCGGCATTATAGCCTGCAAATGCAGGGTGGGCGAGTGATAGCTAGTGTGATGAAAGAGTATCATGTACACGTCACGCACACGTGATGACGAAATACCAACATCCATGCAAACGAAATACGGAAGGATCAAAACAGGGGAAAAAACTTATGCACCAACCTAATACAATACACGATATGTCGCATTGGTGCGTGTGAAGTAGTGCCGCGCCCCATGGATGAGTTGTCCTGGCCCAGCCATTCAACGTTGAGCGTCAGAGGGACAGGAAAATTGCATATTGTCCATTAGGGAATTTGTGTCCACTAGAAATCATATGAGACTCGCCTCTTCAGTAGACAATATAAGATTGGGAATCATCGCGCATCACGTCACGGAAAAGCGCACGCGACGGCAATCACGATTGTCCTGTCGGTCTCCCGTCATATAGCGCCCACGTGCGCGTTTTCTGAGGCCAGAGCATCCTTTGATCACCAGTCATGAAATGCCTTTGTGCGTCAATCATTCTCTTTTGTGTTAGGACTGCACACTCCTTCTCCACTTAGTCTGCCTCTGAGTTCCTAATGAAGGGATTTTCAACGCAGACTGTATAGGCGGAGTCGGGCATAACACCGTGTCGAACTAATTCGCTTTCTCCTTTTATAATATCTAGAGAAAGATAGGTGCCAATGCGAAACGCACACTGACTGCCCATATGACAAGCGTGGACTAAGCTTTCAGGTTTATGTGGTGCTTTCTGTAGACTCATCAATTTCTTCACTTGGTATTCTATTCAATAAGCCGATTTTATTCCCGGCCTCCCCCCTTCAGACCAGCTCCATCTAGATTGAAGATTTGGTTGGCCTGATTGAGATTCAGCCTCACTTTCGCCTCGATCCCCATCCATTTGTCATTATCTCTGGAATACTTGTTCTTTCATGAGCAGCGGTCCGCACATGAAAGAACAAGTAGGGTGTTTGAAGGTTTTGCTAGCCTAGAGTCCCACTACACAGGTCCGTCTCACCATTAGGGTACGCTACTTTGCAGTCGAAGGTCGGGAAGGGATGTGAGTAATCCATTTTTGGGGTTTTCTAACCACCACGTAATTTCGTATGAACGTTACGGCCCGCAGAATCGAGGGAATTAGTAGTCGCGGCAAATGGACGTAGAATGGACTATCCATGACCTTTCCTTCACCGTTTCCCCAGTCACTCTTAGGAATCCCCCTCCAACCATGAGTCATTCCAAATAAGGCCGTAAACAAGAAATAATTTCGTATTTGTCAACCATAGTTCAATTTTGAATAAGCAGAACAGGTTTTACCGGTTGTGAAGCACTTCTCTGTGAATGAACTGTAAATAGCAAAGCTGCTGTCATCAAACAGCCTATGTTAGCATTGACTGATAGCCTAATCTATTCGGCGAATAAGAAGTTGTTTAGCTCGGGTTCTACTGGTTCCTCGCCGCCCGATTTCTCCAGGGATTTGCTTTTGCCGCCAATTTTCCGGTGATCGGATCGTTTTGTGCCAAATGGACGTATTTCAAGCAGGTATGTGGGTACAAAACTAATTATCAAGTATACTAGAGAACTGATTTTTTTTGCCCTATGCGAATTTCGCCAGGTTTAACGGGCATTCGTACAGCCCTTTATAATAAAACCCTTGTTTAGAATGGCCTGTTTGTATCAGCACTGGTCGCCTATGTTCAGCTGGCACCCGCTTGTACTATGCCAGCCTCGGGTGCACTTTGCTCGACATTCAGGTTAGTTGAACTTTCAGTTGAATTTTGAACCAGAGCCGTAATGAGCCGAATTGAGAGAGATTATCGTACATCGGCGGTGATGTCACATCGCAGTGCGAAGAGTTTTGATCCGTCTAAATCCTAAACGACACGTCATGTGTAACCAGACTACTCAGCAACAGTGATAGTTAATACTGCTTGA